GAGACTTGCTGAGTGTGTGTCATCCTTCTTCGAGTAGCACAGATTTTGATGGGAAAAATTCCTTGGAAGTTTTTGGCATTCCAAGCAGCAGAAATGTTTAGATTGCTTATTTCTTTCTAGCACAGCCAGGGAGAGGCAATATATATCACTGAGAGACTGAGATTTATAAGAACACGCTGCAGAGTAAATTGTGCTGTCAAGCAGAGAAATAGTGTAGTAAAACAGACTCTGCACTAATCTTCTGAGGATCTTTGACACTGTGTACAGCAATCACAGGTCTGCTGATCAGGAGGCTTTAGCGCTCTTCATAGTAAACCCCATGTATTTAATTTTCTTTGGCATTGAAACCATGGATATTTTGTGAGGCTTTTTTTTCCTCTGCCTTCTATTTCTGGCAGAGGTGAGTATTAATGTGTGTTTGTAGTCTTTATGTGAATATCCTTGTTAATAGAGATTTCCCAGATATTTTGGGACTATATTTTTTTCTTCTGTGGTGTTTCCATATAGTTCATTTTGACAGGAAGGGCAGCAGTCTCTTAGAGGTCACGTTGTATTGTTCTTAGGGGAACAACTTGAGGCATTTGAACCAGAGAGCAAGAAAAATTTCTGGCATGAACTTCTGAATGTATCTACTGTTTCTGGCTGGGATGGAATTAGGATTCTTCATAGCAGCCTGTAAGGTGCTGTGTTTTGGATCTACAACTAAAACAGTGTTGATAACATCCCGGGGTTTTGGTTATTGCTGAGCAGTGTTTGCACAGCATCACGGCCTTCTCTGTTTCCCTCCTCTGCTCAGCAGTGAGAAGGCTGGGAGTGGGCGAGAGGCTGGGAGGGGACACAACTGGGACAGCTGACCCCAGCTGACCAGAGGGATATCCCATGCCGCAGAGCATCACACTCAGCAATAAAATCAGAGGGGCGGGGAGGCAGTCGTTGCTCAGAGACTGGCTGGGCATCAGTCTGCTTGTGGGAGGTAGTGAATGATTGCCACTGCCTCATTGTTTTGTTTTGTTTTTTCCTTCTTTCCCTCACTTAGGAAACTATCTTTGCTTCAGCCACTGAGCTCTTCTCCCTCTTGTTTTTCCCGTTCTCTCTCCCCATCCCACTGGGGGGAAGTCAATAAGCAGCTGTGTGGTGCTTAGCTGGTGGCTGGGGTCAACCCAGCCCAAAGTACAATGCGTTAGTCTCTGAAAATGTGTTTCTAATTTTATAAACAATTTAAAGCTTCATGAATAATTAAGAATTCCTATGAATCGTTCAACTAGCTACTGAATTAGTGAGGGCGGTATGAGACCTTGGCAAATATCTACAAATATCTTTGGGGGTTTTTAAATTTTATTTCTAAGCTGCAACAAGCAATTGCCCAGTGGCAAAGACCAACTTTCCCAGCTGCCTCTTGTCCTTCACGAGTTCTTTCTGCTCTACCTGCAGCCTGGCTGCTTGCTCCCTGATTTACACCGTGGTTCCTAGGCTGCCAAAGATGTGATGTGATGTGGCTTTCTTGCACCCTAGCTTTCAAGGATGAGCTACCAGGCTCGTGGGATGCCTCCATGCTCCAGCATGTTCTCTCTGCCTGATCTGCTGGTTTCTGGGGTACAGTGTGACTGTAAGCAACAGGAAGAGAAACAAACCCTGTCCATCATGGAGCTGAATACTGTAGATTAGCTCTTTACTGGACTTGGATTTTGCTCAGTGTTGAATTACTCAGTTGTTAGAAGGATGGTGTGCATCGGGGCCCTAGGCTGAGTCAGAAGGTGTATAATAATGAGTTTCTTTTCCATGTAAACTTAGGAAAGCTGCTTAATTTCCTTGTGTCTCAGAAAAAACCTAAGAGTTGTGGGTTTTTACGAAGTATTGTCCCAACTGTTTTGTTCTGTTTTTGAAATGTGGGGGGGTTTGCCACCACCTGCTTCTACAATGTTTTTCATAAAGGTTACCCAGTAGGTAAGACGATTAAGAGCATTCATATAATTCTATAACGGCGAAGGGGAAAGTAAATTTTGTAGCTTTGAGATGAAAGTGTAAGTATTTTACAGAATGGAATGCCCTTAGCATCTGTATTTTAGCTTGTTTTTATTACTAAATTCACACCTTATAGTATACAAGAGCCTTGCAGGAATAGATTTATTTTAAGTTATCATAGTGCTTATAAGTTATTCTTTGTGCCAAATGCTGGAATACAATAAGAGACATACTTATTGCAGTCATGGTTGTCAATTCATATTGTCATTCTATAATAATTACTAAATACATATTTACTATCTGTCAAACCTGCACATTTAGAAAGATATCTAATTGTAATTACTAAAATGGAATAATGATCATGTTTATGGATAATGATGGCTGTACATGGCCCTGTTTTTGCAAATATTGTAGTAATAAGAAATAGTGAACAGTGATGGTCAGAAACAGCTAAACAGAGGAATAAAAAATATTTTTGTATCAGAAAAAATCTGCCTTTTGATAATCATCAGATTTAGAATATTGCAAATTTGAATTCTGGGGTGTTGATGGGAGTGTAGGTAAAGAATTCCTGGACTTTGTTCCCAACTCTGTATTCTTCTTTGAACTTTAAATATCTTAAACATTTTTGTTTAGTTGGAGAGTTGCTTATTAAGTAGATGAATCACCTTGAATTTTCATAATTAGCTGTATTTGTCATTGCCTAATATGGCAGAGCTTATGTTCTTTCTCTTTTGTTTTTTTTAGGTATGAATACAAGCAAGAGTGAGACAGTGAAGGAGCACCCATTAAAACCCTCTAGAAGATCTATGCCATGCCTAGCCCAGAGCCAAACACATCCTCAGAGTCTGAGCAAGCATTCCTCTTTCCTGCAGCCAAATCGTGTGCAGCCACAGCCCCGGCCTCAGCCTCTAAGTGCAGGGACATCTACAGCTACAGTGGATGTGGTGTCAGAACGAGGTAGGAGGTTTTTCTCTTTCAGGAGCTTGTTCCAACAAAGGGAATGGAAGGGATCTATGGGAATATAATTTGAAGTCTTGTGGTGTCTTGGATATTCTTTTTTAGCATCTTGTATGAAATTATAAGGGCATCTGATAAGCTTTGACTTGTTTAGATATGTACGGTTTGTGGGAGAGATGTTTTTGCACAAAACAGCTAGAAGAACCATGGTACCGAGTTCTTGAGTGAATCTCTATAATGTCTGCAGTGATGCTTAAACTAATTTTGATTTTATTTTTCTGAATTACAAGATTATTTCCTGCTCACTGAAAACAAGACAAGAAAGTGCTCCTGTATGCTGGGGAAGAGCATGAAGGTTTCTATAGCCTGTCCTAGGAGAGAGTGAAAAAATAAATATTAGACTTGTGGCAAGAAATGTCTTTAAGTATGAACATGTAGGAGCAGATTTATTCATTCATGAGTAGCAAAATTGGGGAAGAGTGGTACGGAGAGAACGAGAGGAAAGGGAGAAAATGCGTATGAATTTTAGTTTGTGTTGGAAAAAGGAACTACTTTTATTTAAGGATTTCTATTTTAACAGATAAACATGCCTTAACAGAGAGACTAGTCTGGTTGGAGATCCCAAGCACTGCGTGTGTCACCTATTGCCAACTGTTGCCATAGACTATTGCCAACTGTGGGTGAACCTTTATAGGATAAATTAACTTGACTGGCTTCTGCTCCTAAATTTTGATAAGTCTTTCCTTGATGTTGATAGGCACTTATTATTACTCTAGTAAGTTTTTTCAATGAGTTAAACTTCTCTCAGGAAGAGAGTGAAAGTCTAAAGTGATCTTTTTCTCTTTTCCAGCAATGGAAAGTGCTCTTCAAAATTTCAGCCTAAAGTTTTTAGTTTGAGTCACTGACAGCTTTAAAAAGTGTATCTTTACTTATAAAATACATGTGAATGCTGATATGAATATTGCATTTATTCCAGCTAAAGTAATGGAGACTTTGGAAAACAACTTGCTTAAGCTGTCTAATACAGAATACAGTGATCCATTTTTAGGTAAGTTTGAGTTTGAACTGAAATAATAATAAATGATTCTTCAATTACACTTGCAGTATTTAAGTGTGGGAAGGCCATGCTTACCCTAAACTGCTGTCTTTTTTGAAAAAGGAGACTAAATGTAACTAAAGAAATATGTGCTGTCGTTAAGTTTCCTGATGCTTTCTCACCTTTTAGACTACCAGTAAATAGGGACTAAAGACAGAGAAGTACTTTTTTCATGCATTCAGTGTAACCTTTTCGCATAACAATCAAGAAGTAATTTTCAAGGTTCAAAATTAATTAACTTCGAAATTCCCTGCCCATGTATTACCCATCTGAAGTACACACAGATATTGCTGCACCTTGCACAACTACTGTGAAAGGTCTTTTTGCTCACAGTCAATGTAGCATCAAACTAGAAATCATATCTTCGTGCTGAAGGAAAGAGATCTACTTTCAGAAAGCTATTTCTGCTCACCTCTCATGTATTTTAGCATTGATTTTCTTGATGACTAAAATATATGATAGATAAGAGGCTCTTCAAGGTCTCCTATAGAGGTAGCTACTGGAAATGTGAGTGAAATTGATACTTCCTCCAAAACAAAATCAAAATGTTCCAAAATCATGACACAGAGTGAAAATTGGGCATGAAGATTGTGTAAGAAAATCATGTGTCTCAGTGAGGTTCCAGTTGAAGCTACTCTATTCTCTTAGTGTAAGTGTAATTGTTTTAATTGGCTTCATTTTTTTTTATGTCCTGTTCTATTTTTCACTAATTTCTTACACATACACATGCTGATATTATTGAGTATTTATGTATGGCAGCAGTAATTCTTTCTCTAGTAAGTGTTGTGCTGTTTTTCATTCACATCACCTAGTTTTAACCTGAAAAGAAACAAGGAGGGCTCAGCAACTGAGGAAAAGATTGAGTCTCCTCAGCTCAAAATGGTTTTAAACTTTGATGTGGAAGTTTCTCCTCTTCTGACTACACTCTTTGAAGGGACAGAAAAAAAAAATTAATGGTAGCCCTTTTCTAATTTGATTTATTAATTTGCCTATGTTAATTGAGTCCATCCCAAATTAGATCACTGAGATCTGTGAAGTTATTCTGTATTTACAGAAATGTAATTGGTTAGGATGTTCAGCTACAAGCAAGAAAGGAAACAGTATTTATACATGAATTCCAGAAGTCAGTAGCAAGAATTGCCTTAGATAAAAATCAGCATTTTCTGAAATTTCATGACTAATTTATTAATTTATTTCAGTAAGAACTCCCTTTTTCTAGGAAGAATCATTTTTTTTCTTGGTGTAACTGAGATAATTGCACTCTTCTCATGCACAGTACAGGTGAAAAAGCTGTGTAAGGTGCAAACGCTCACAAAAGCAGGAACTAATATTCCACCTAATAGTCTGATCTTTTCTCAACTTGCCCTTTGGCTTTAGCAAAAGGAATAGAAGGACAGTGGCAGTATTTGGACGGATAGTGACTTGTTTTTCCATTTGCTAGGTCCCTTTCCATTGTTAAAATTACTATTAGTGTTGCCAGGTTTTACTTCCCTTTTTCATGTTCACTTTCAAACACCATGAGACAGATTTATAAAAGGGATTTCTTATTACACTACAGATTAATGCCTTTAAAAATCCAGTTTGTCACATACTTAAATCATTAAGATTTTCAGGAGTTAGACCATATTGGAAATCCAATTAGACTAGGAGAAAGACTTGGAAATCTGATGCTGTGCTTGTTAATGTAACAATCCAATTTGCTCATTATAACACAAGAAAGCATATAAGTAGCTTTCTGCGGATCCTACAATCAGAAATGGTAGAGGATCATCTGCTCTCCACTGTTAGGCTGTAATATTTCATTTCGAATAAGATGTAAAAAATGAGTATTGGATAATATGCTCAATAGAAATTGGCATTCAGGATTTAGACATGACTATCTAATTTTAAGTCTTTTTCCAAATAAAGCCAATACTCATTAGCAAATAAAATAAGGGAAAATTATTTCATAACTTTAAATTGTCTAAATACAACATTTCGTACTTTTGCAAAGTTTTGGGGGGTTTTTTTTGAGTATTAGGTGTACTTGTAATGTCTAATACACTGAAATTTCCCTCATAAAAATAGACTTTAAATGTAAGTAGAGTCTTTCTTTCCGCTTAAATGGCCTATCCAGATGAAAAACTTTAGGTTTCATAGGCCTGTCTCTACTTTTCATTTTATTGGCTTCTATAACAAGACCTTGATGAGCTAAGGGCTCATCACACCTGGGCATGTGTCAAATCTGCAAAGTTGCTTAAATATCCCGCTTCCTGTTTTGTATACCTACTGTTTGAAACCTTCTTCGCAGTCTTTTTACTACATTCACTACGTTACACAGAATAACTTGTATATTAGGTTAAAACATTGTTTAAAATAAATAAAATCTCTGACGATTAAAATAGGCTATTTCATACATTAAGATATCCCTTCACAGATTTACTGAGGTTAATATTCAGTATCAGAGATTACCAAGGGCTCATTTTGTGTAATCATTACGTAAGCATCTAAATTGCAGAAAAAAACAGCTCTTGGTAAATGCTCCGGCTTAATATTTCATCTCAGAAATGTCTAGGCTACATGAGATAATTGTGGTTGTTTTTTTTCTGTAGTACTTACTGTGGAGAATTTAACTGAGCAACTTAATGAAAAATACTTTGTTGTTGCAGATGAGCTTTTATGAATATAAAATTAAGGAGATTCAAGATTGTGGTTCCCACAGCAACCCTGACTTGTTTCTTGGCTTCTATTTAGGGTTTAGAATTACTGGGCTAAATGCTGTTCCCAGTTCCCCTGACTTTTCCCATGTTGATGTGAAAGCTGAGATGAGAACTTGGCTCAGGATTTGTGGGTAACTTTTTTGTCTGAATATGCTTCTATTTCCAATTTGTCCAAGATATAGCTGTGTGGGAATAATTATTCCAACTTTTAATCTTTAAAATATTTTTTCAAGACTACCCCTTTTCCAATGTTTATTAAGACTTGCGTGGTCCAACGTTGCACAGGCATTACCCCTCATTTTACTCCTGCTGGGTATATGTGGTAAGTATTGCCATGATTTTTTGATGGAGAATGTGCAGGGAAATTAAAGTTTCCCTTCCGGAAAAAAAGTCTCCCTTCTGATAGAGGATGTAGAGTGACTCAGAGACTTATGTCCTTCTAACTTGCCTGCAGTGATGGTGCAAGAGGAAATTTAATTTGTGAGAGGGGATCTTAGTAAGCTTTGAGGAAGGTCCTCAGTCACCTGTAGCTACCTTAGGGTACTCAACTAAGTTTTATAAAAACTTTTGTTGGGCAATTGAAAACAAATCCAATGAAAACAAAAACACTTTCTTCATGTTGTCATCTTTGACCACCATCAGGTACACCTCTTAAACTGTGTTCTGAAGTGGTCACTGCAATCCCTTAATGTGCAAATTTTCAAATACTGTGTCTAATGATGAGGAGCAGGTGTGTAGGGGAATCAGGTGTTTCCATTGCTTGTTTAAATTTAAAACATGAGATGTTACTCTGGTCTCCAGGATGCAGCTCACTATTTAATAACACATTTTGAGTCTCAACAATTGTGAGTCAAGCAGAAAAGCATTTGGTTATTTGCTTTATATTGCTTTGTGGGTTTTTTAAACTACCGTGAAGAATGTTGTTTGCTTTTTTGATTTGAATGCTAATAGAAAAAAAGTTTCTATAGGCCTTCTAAAAATAGAAGTTGCTTCTAGTTTAAGACAAACATGATAACGTTTCAAGTAAAAAACTTTTGTGGGAAAGGATAGAATATACGCTATTGAAATGTGGTTACTTAAAATGAATATTCAACTGTGGCTGTAACAGTAATGTTGATTTCTCCCCACTACAACCTAAAATGAGCCCACTGTTTTCTTCTGTTTTTGCGTTAGACATAGGAAAGGACAAAGATACATACACAGATGATTCAGAACATGGAAATTATGATGCTCGTACAGATCAGTCGTTGCTTATTCACAACAAGCTTACCAGACAGAAAACAGAACCTCGGACTAAATCATCTTTAAAGGTAATGGACACAAAATTTTATTAAACTGTATCAGTTGTCAGCATGTGCTTAAATGTTTTTAAAATATATTTTTTAAGGGATTAGAGAAGTTGCAGCTTAAATAAGCATCTTATGGTAAGAAATTTAGGTGTTTCCCATATTATAGTTTAACCTATAGAATCAATGAATGGAATTCTTTCTACCAAAAGTGATCAAAATAATATAGAATCAAGGACTCTAGGAAGCAGTAGCCTTCTTTCAAAAAGTATTGCACTGAATTTAAGACATGGGGTTCCCAGCATGGAGGGAAATTCATGTCATCTGGGAGGCCTCAAGAAATTAAGAGAGTTTTGAAGAACTAAGTTTGTGTAGCAAATGATCAGTCGAGAGTGATCTAAGGTGTAGGATTCTTCTAAACAAAATCCAAGTGATGGCTAGACACGTTGAATGAAAGATAAAATTCACTTTTATATAGGAGAGCGTAGGAGTATTCTCAGGAATGTCAACTAAAGCACTGGAAAAGCCATATCACCAGAGAATACTGACATGTTATCTTGCTTAGTAATTACCTAATCGCAGTATTCATCACAATCTATATTCTACAACAGTTCAACCACTATGCTGCCAAAGAATTATGACTGATTTGTAGTCCAAAACATGTTTTTTTTGTTGTTGTTCTCCCTCTGGACTGGGAGACGCTTAATTTTCCTTTCCATTAGCATAATTGCTTTTAAAAGTGTGACAAAGAACCTAACCTCAAGAAGTTCTGAATTATTTTCTTCTTCAAGAACTGGAAGTAGTATATTCTGTAGAACAGCTTTTACCAGCAGTTCTCTGATCTGTGACGTGTAAAAGCATAAATAATCCTGTGCTACAAATCTAGAGATGCTTAAATTGCTTTAAGGTTCCATAATTGTAACTTTGTGATTTTTAGGATTGAACACATGTTTCACAAGAGTTGTGTAACTATTGTAAAGCTTGTTCTCTCAATCACACTGATCATCATTACTACAGGATTCTGGAACACATGTAGCAGGTTGAATAATAGGTTATAATAATAGCTATTTAATAACTTTTAGACAGGTTTACAGGTAATTGCATTTACAGATTGGAAATTTCTGACTTGAAACTTTGGTAATGACAGACAAGGGTTATATTTTGATCTAAACCATTGCCCGTAGAACTTTTTGGGTTCACCACTTTTTTTGTCTGTTTCTGCAAGGCTAGGCTGAATTAAAACAGAAATAATAATGGATGTTCTTGTTTGATTTTATTGATTAGGTAGACAAAGCCTTTTATGTTAAATGTGGCTTAAAAGGCAGAAAAAATAATGCAATATCTGCAGGATTTAGACTATAACATTATAGAGAATTAAATATTTGTAATAACAAGTAAGGACCCTGCCAAAAAAATCTAGTAACAGATAATGACTTACGTAGTAACAGGCATTTCACTGTACTAAAGCAAAATATTTTTTGTATTTTCATGTAAAATGGCCACTGGCTGTGTTTTCTCCAAGCTCTGCGTTCAGGACTGATATAAAGTTTATAGGCGGGCAGTAAGCTAACTTTCTTTCAAAGTTTAAAGAAGAGCCTTGTATTTGTATTAAGTTTAAACAAAAATGCACTTTTTATATCTCAGTCTTCGTATGTCCTGACCTACTGAACAAAGTGCTTCGGAGTTTAAAAACAGCCTTCTGAAGCCTTTTAGCTTTTAGCCTTTTGGCTTTTAACCTTGACAACTCCTTTTATCACAGCAATTACTTTGGAAATTTCCTTCTGCTTTTATGCTGTTTTTGCAAGTGAGGCAACAACTAGGATTCTCCTCCTGTTTACTGTTTGCCTGCCACCACAGGAAAAAGACAGAGAGGATTTAGATTAGTCTTATATTAGACAAGAAGGTTACTATTTTGCCTTTGGATTATTGTGCAAGTCTTTGTGGCCATTAGTGGAAGATGTCTAAGGGAAACTTCTTCCCAAAATGGATATAAAACTAGCAAAAGGAGGCTTCTAATTCTTTTTGAGACTGTTGAAAGCACAGAAGACAGCTCTACAGCTTTCCAGCTGGTAAGTACTCTCATATATTTGGAAAATAAACTGATCTATCATGATTTAAAAAGTCTTCTCAGTTTGACCAGAGAATGAAAATGAGAAGCACCACATTGACAAAGCGTACAAGGAGAAAAGCTTATTATTCTTCACTGCTTGTTAATGTTTCTAATTTATTCTTGTTGTGGAAGGGTTGTTGTACACCTGAGAGACTCAGGGAGAAGTTGCTAAAAAAGTTATTTGCAGTTAATGCTTGGTACTATTATATGGCTCAGTGACGGGCTACTTGAATACTTCATTAATAACGAATTTGTCTTGCTGATGTGATGAAAGCCGATAAACATTTTTTTCAGGAATTGTTTAGTGTTTCAAATCACATACATGATGCATCACTTTCCATAAATCTTATTTGTATCGCTGCAGTTTTAAAGCTTTAGAAGCATCAGATAATTTAGATGTAGCATCTGGATGCCAACATTGATCTTGATAGTCATCTACTTTTCTCATTTCCTTGATAATGATTTATAACTCGTAATCTCCTTTAGTGTAGGTTGGTATCATTTCAGAATCCACAGATTTCACGTGGAAAAATTGTAAGTTGTTCAGACCCATTAAAAAGCTGTCTTCATTATCCTTCTCTGCCATCTTTTTTGTCACCAACTGCTGCTGAGATTGTGTACAAAGTATGACTTCATGTATGTGATTCTACCAAGGGATTTCATGAAGAGGAATGGTGCCAACAAGTGGCTGCTGAGCAAAGTATGGAATGAGTAGTATCTGCTATTGCAAGGGAAAAGTAGGAAATGAGGTCCCTGAATGGAAAGTTGATATTTGAAATGTTCTGCTTCCACTAAGAAAGGAAAGCAGGCTAAACAGACTTTATCACTTGAATGGAATGCAACATTTGTCCAGAGAAGCAGCAAAGTCAGTAGCAGTGCATGCTTTTCTGTACCAATTACTGGCATGTGTATAGTGGCAAGGTAGGAATATTTGAAAAACTACACTTCCATTTCCTTTCATTCACTATGTCATTGTTACTCTCTTTGATCTTACAAATTTTTTATCAGAATAGTTTTTTTTCTAGGTAGTGTATTTTGCTATCTGGCAAGGTAAAGAAAGGAATTTTAGAACAAAGTTATCATATTATCACTATGGGTTCAGGAAGTATAAAGAAATGCTGCCTATACAGTATTATATTTTACTGCCTTTTTCTGGTATCCACTATAATACTGCATGTCTGGACTAGCCTTGTGTTGGATAAGATCTGAAACAATTTATCTTTCAGTCTCTGGAAATGTTACATAACTAAGGAATTATAAAATAAGATCTTAAATAGGCAATTAGACAAAACATATGGACAATTGTATCTAATGAGCTGGACATATTGTTGAAAATTCATTATAATTTGAGCAAAATTCAGTATGTTCAGTGTAGATTATTACAGTGATTATTAAAGGATAAATCTACCCATGAAAACCTGAAATACATTGTTTAGGCATTTTATTGGATTCTTTCAGATTTTGAACGTATCTATTCCTCTCTGTCCTGCAAAACAAATCTTTTGCTTACAGAATTTCATGGTGGTGTGAAGAATGGAATAGATTAAGTGTAATATCTGCAGAATAAAAGTGTTCTTCAATCTTAATATTTTATTTTCCACACTTCTGCAGGAATTATTTTCTGTTTTCATTTTTTCCAATTTAAGTCCATGACTTTCAGAGTTGCACAGATTTGTGCTATATGTTCCAGTGCTGGCAATTTATCGCTAGTTTCACATACATTATTTCTTTCAAAATCCTGCTCCTGCATTCAGTGGAAGTCAGGCATGCGTGCTGAAAGAGAAGGTTTGGCCATAAAAATGTTTTAGTGTATAAATAAGAACAAGATGTTGTTAGCTGACATCAGTGTACTGGAAAGGAGAATAGCAAAGGCAGCTTGATAGATAAGGAGTAGTCCATACATGCAGTCTAATAACACAAAAGTAAATAAAGTTGAAAAGGAATGATAACAGATAAAATCATTATCCCAGATTAGAATGACAGGGTAAAGTGCAACAAAAGTTAACTTCATGTTTATGCTTCTAGTGCATGGCTCTCATCTGCTATGAGGTTTTGTTTAAAAAGAAAAAATAAAAGCTCAGAAAATATTTCACGAAATGCAGGGAAAGTAGTAAGTAATTTTGTCATAAAGATGAATGTTTTGAAAAATAAACCATGTAAAGAAAAACTTTCAGTGAGCATGTCGGTATGCTTGTTAGGACCTCCCTATTAGACTTAAAGAGCAAATAGAAGAAAAGTGTTAAAAATAGGAAGGCTCTTCCTGTCTCCAGGCATCCTCCATTGCTGCTTCCTCATACAGTAACATTGAACAGACTTCCTTTCAAAATTTTACGTAAGATCATCTAAACCTACTCCTTTCCTGAAGCAAAATGTATTTTTCATATGATATGCAAACGTATTTTTCATGTTTACTCTGTAAGTCTCAATAGAACTAAAAAAAGTGAAGAAGCTAAAATAGTTACTATTTCTTTAGTTTACTCCTAAAAAGCAAAACTGCGGTTTTATTAGGGAGGTCAGATAGTTCTGGAAGGCTTCCTCTCTGTTCAGAACACAGCTCGGTTCGGCACAGTTCCGGCAGCCTCTTGTGTTAACCGGGCTGTGTTGTCTTTGATGCCCAAGAGAGTTTGGATATCTTTGCACGTGCAAATATGTCCCCAATTTTCTTTCTTAGATTATGTTCATGGTTATTTACAAAAGAAAAAAAAATATACACTTAAAAACAATCAATCTATGTTTCCAGAATTAAGTAATTGAAAGGCTGAAAATAATAAATCTATTTCTGGCTTATCTGTTCCAGACCCCTTCAGTCACAAAAAGATGATTGTAACTTAGTCGTGTGCTTAGAAAATTTCTCATAAAGAACACCTTAGAGTATTTTTAATCAGGGTATGATTTTTAAAATGTAAAAAATTAG